GGACGTCATTCTCCCCCTGTACTCGGCCTTAGTGAGGCCGCAGCTGGAGTACTGTGTCCAGTTTTGGGCTCCACAATTCAAAAAGGATGTGGAGAAGCTTGAGAGAGTGCAGAGAAGAGCCACGCGCATGATCAGAGGTCAGGGAAGCAGACCCTACGATGACAGGCTGAGAGGCCTGGGGCTCTTTAGCCTGAAAAAGCGCAGGCTCAGGGGTGATCTGATGGCCACCTACAAGTTTATCAGGGGTGACCACCAGCATCTGGGGGAACGTTTGTTCATCAGAGCGCCCCAAGGGATGACGAGGTCGAATGGTCACAAACTACTTCAAGATTGTTTCAGGCTGGACATAAGGAAGAACTTTTTTACTGTCCGAGCCCCCAAGGTCTGGAACAGCCTGCCACCGGAGGTGGTTCAAGCGCCTTCATTGAACACCTTCAAGATGAAACTGGATGCTTATCTTGCTGGGATCCTATGACCCCAGCCGACTTCCTGCCCTTTGGGCTGGGGGCTGGACTCGATCTTCCGAGGTCCCTTCCAGCCCTGATGTCTATGAAATCTATGAAATCTTGTCCTAGTCTGAAAACACCTAACACAGCATTTGTCAACCCGTGGGTCACAGGAATGTGTGGAAGGGTTTTGGGCAAACTTAAAGAATGGATTCTCCTTTAAAGGACAAAAACATGGAAAACTCTGGGTTTTCCCTTGCAGGCAGGCAGAGCTCCAGCCTGCAGCAAACTGTTCGGGGGCCCCTGCCCCACACACCGGGGGGTGGAGCAGCAGGTCACAAGTGAGGGGCTGTTTTCTACTTAAACTACTCACTGGGTTGGGACTGGCCATCAGTGTTTACAAATGGGTCCTGGTACAAAAAAGGTTCAGAGCCATTGACCTAACACTGTCATGATCAGCTCACCTTGACACGCACTAGCTCAGTTTTAAAGAATTGAAATCTCAGCCAAACAAACTAACGTTTCCGTGACTGTTCACACAGCCCAGTTTCAACAAACAGGTTCTGTTTTGACAGTCGTTCGTGTTGTCATAGTTATGTCAAGTTATGTTCTTTTACAGAATTTGCTTCATGTTGCGTTTTTTTCTAGCTTTGTTATAAGAGCTGATGTCTTAGGAGATATCATTCAAGCTGGTTATAAAAAAGCCATTGTTGTTGGGTTGCTGTCATCTTATTGACATAAGACTATTAAAAAATAGATATATGGTCAGTGTTTACAGCTGTTTACCTTCAAAATAAGATGGACACTGTGGGATAGAAATGACTCATTCTACCTTTCATCAGATGAATTAATTGGTGGTTTGTGCAGTCTCAAGTGGTGACAGAACAGGTTGGATCTATGCATAGCAGACCTGCTTGTAAATCCAGCACTGAATTTTTGCTAGTAGGATCCCCTGCTTCCCTTTCCAGGCTTGTCAATATTTCTACCACATGTGACTGTCATCTCCAGGGGAGAAGATTTCTAATTATTGGAAGCTGCATCAGTTCATTTTTTCCAGGTGTCAGTAACTGAATTCACAAACTTACACAAGGGATTTTTGATCGTGTGACGGACACTAAACAGGAAGTTTACATTGTACTTTATGTGAAATCAAGTTTGTAAGCATGCCTCCAGCATGAATTCAAATGCAACATTTTTTTTAGTGTTTTAATACCAAAAAGAACACTTCATTCTAGAGTAATTTTCTGAACTGGATGACAGAAGGAAGAGCATGGTTGCACCACAGAGTCTCTCTGGTTGGTCTTAGTCTAAGGTGCTTACCTTAGTCCCTAAGGTATGCCACCCCACCCTAATTGCTGCCTGATTTCTGATGAACTAACTACCTCTGTTTAAACTGAATGAAATGTAGGTATGAATAGTATATACAGTGTAAAGGAAATGGATTAATAGTGATTTTTAGCTTTAATAAGCTTGAGGTAATACACATATGAGGGATTTGGTTTTAAAATGATTTAATCCTAGTGTGACAGACTTGTTTTGCTTTAGTTTTTTGCCAGTGGTGCTTATTCTGAACCTTGAAATTCCATGTTATGCCTTCTTCAGTGATGCTGCTTTTTTTTCCTTTCTAAACCAAGACCAATAAATCAGATAATTGTAAATGCTGCCTTTTCATCTTCCTCCACAGTGACAAGAAGGTAACACCTCATCAGAATTTAACAAGATGCAGTGAAAAAGTTACCAAACATAGCTTTTATGACTCTACTAACAAAAATATATGGTACTGTGAGGTATGGCACCTGTCAACCTTTTATGCCAGTGTGGAGGAAAGGTGCTAGGCAGACCCGCGTTTACTGAGGAGGCATTTCAGAAATGGAAACAGGAAGGAGGAATTAAGATGCAGTATTGTATCTGGCTACTTTAATTTAAATCTTTCAGTAAAGAAATGTGAATATTAAGAAATCAGATATGTACATGCATCTGCCTGGGGCCTGATTTTATAGTCCTTTAAACAGGTGGAGTTCCCATTAAAAGACAGCTTCTGAATGAAATCTTTGAAGCAGAATCTTTTCAGAATCAGGCCACCCTTCCCCAACTCTTTTGAATTTGGCAGCATCCTTGGCTAAGAACCACTGCTGGTGCTGCCTTAACTTGCTTCAGTGGTTTTTAACAGGTGCTGCCTCCATGGCGTGGTAAAACTGCCCTACTCAACTGCTACGCTCCCAGAAGGACTGTGGCACATATGCAATGTACTGCCTCATTAGGATTTTCTGTAAACCCTAAAGCAGTCAGGAGAGCAGAGCTGATTTGTGCTGCAGCCCTTTGCAGTCTGATCCTACACAGCATCTCCTGGAAGCAGAGGCACATGGGGCAGGTGGAACTATCTAGTACAGTCGTGGCCAACCTGCAGCTCCGGAGCCACATGTGGTTCTTCAGAAGCTAATATGCGTCTCCTTGAATCTTTGCACAATCACATGGTGACCAGTTTCCACTTGGAAGATGCCTGAGATCCTGCCTGACCATTTGGGAGTTGGTCACCATGTGCTTGTGCAAAGATTAAAGGAGATGCATATTAACTTCTGAAGAGCAGCATGTGGCTCCGGAGCTACAGGTTGGCCACCCCTGATCTCTCCAAAATGGAGATATACGAGCAGTATCGGAGATGAGGGCACCA